TAGATTTTGTCATATCCAAAACCTTTTCCTAAATGATATTTTCCCTTGTGAAATACTTTCATTTTCTAGATACGAAGCAATTCACCTTTTCGACGCTAGCTTGGATTGTGTTACGGTCACCAAAAAGCTCGGACATTGTTCTCGGATTTCCATACAAATTCACTGACTTTAAAGAGAAAATGTAGGTAGATTTCTTTAGTTAGCTCTCCTTAACAGCAGTAAGAAAAGCTTCAGTCAAGCTAGAAAAATGATTATTTACTTGTGTTTAGAGAACTAACTAAACAAACGAGGTAAATAGTTTCTTTTAAAGCCAGTACAGCCAGTACATTTGTACGGAAATCAGGGAAATTCGAGAACAATGTCCAAACGTGTTGGTGACCGTAACACAATTCAAACAATTTATACCACGTGACGGCTTGCGCCGAAAAGCTGAATTGAAAGTTTGTTTGCCATCCAGCAGAGCCTTCCCCAAGGAACCTTTGGATGAATTGATTTCGTTATCAAAGTGATATATGAGCACGTGACTATTAGATGCAAGGGGCCTATTGGATGAGGAACAGTTTCTTGATATCTATGCATTTATAGCTTTTTCCCTTAAGTAGTGGTTTAGGTTTTATATAATTATATATTATTCTTTTTCTTGAATTATTCTTCAAAAGTTCATGAACAATTGATGAGCATTAAGACCAAACTCATTAATAATTCATTCGGCAACGCCTCGAGTTTATATATCGTATACAACACTGCCACAATTATAAGTAATAGCATGACCTGAGGGTGATTAGTAATTAAATGTCCCCGAAAGCCGACGGAGGTTTTGTTGTAGTCCCGACGCCGTAAGCGGAGTGATTTTAACTTGACCTCCCGAGGCTTGAGGTGACATTTAATCACTAATCACCCGATAGGTCATGCGATTACTTTGTAATATTATGATTACCGAGGATTATAAACCAAAATATAGTTGACTTTGGTTATCCAAGAGCGGAATAWATTACAGTCTTTTTTAAAGGGCCTTCATTATCATGTAGTCTAGGGAATCGTGAGCATGCATTTTCTTTGTTTTCTTTGAGCGATTTCAAATGAAATGGCGATAACTTATTAAGTCACAATTCGCCAGAAAGAGTCACTATGTGTTGAACGCATGCGCGACGACGACTCATGGCATGGGTCCCACAAGTCTAGGGTCTTAAACAGAATGTAGTAGAGGGTCATTGGGAACAGTAAAATAATTCTAATTTCTAATTCTAATTTGTCATTGTGTCTTACCAGATATTCACTGCAAGTACAGACCCATCCCGGGTCATCATGCACATCCTTCACAGTCCTCTATCGGCAAGAATGATACGTTTCTATCCTATAGAAAAGAATAAAGTTCACGCTCTGAGGGTAGAAATATATGGTGTTATCAAGAAGCCCGGTAGGAAAATACATTCATTATATTATAATAGGGACTTKTGTGTACTTCGGGGTAATGTTTTTCGTTTTCGAACCTCTTGGAAATGAATATCTCTGAGTGCGTATRATACCAAATTCATTTAGGCGTAAGAGACCAATTTTTGGTTTTCGCTTTGGAGGACAAAATAATAGAATATCACCCTCGTGATTATGGAATCAGTCTATCTCGTGATAAAATTAATGTTTTGCTGCCTTATAAGTAATTAGAAAGGTGTCCGATACGTAAGGTACTGTTCATTCCTACCCCGGGATTTTCTGGGGGTCATTAAAAAAATCATACTCAAGAGAGGGGGCAGATAACTTTTATAATAAACAGAATGGAAAACAAGGAAGGGGCTGTTTTTGATGCAACAACGGAGAAGGGGATGTCCAAAATCTTGTATGGGTTGCCAAGCGAATCCCACGTACCCCCCGTCACCCCGATGACGATCCGTCTTATTTTGTGTGTATTGAACAACCGTCATAGTTGCTTTTAAGAATGTACTGCTTAATTTGAATCCTTTTGATAGCTCTTCCACGACCGTCACAAATAGAAGATAAGCTATTGGATGCAAGTCAAGGTTCATATGTAGACTTGGTGTGCAGAGCAGAAAGAGGACTGAGCATCAAATGGTACCATAACGATACAGACATTACAAGTTACTCTATCGGTACAGTAAGAACAGGATCAATACTCATATCAACACTACGTGTAAACTACACATCAGCAGAKGATGTTTATGACAAATATTCTTGCGACAAAGCGCAAAGACGCTGTACCAGTTTGGATTACATTTGCCAAGTCGATTATGGTTCATACAGAAAACTGCAGAGCAGTGGAAGAGTTAAGGTCAGGCTTGGCATGGAGGTTGGTAAGTATTGGATGATAGCCAACTCGGCCCAGTTTTTTCCTCGACCTTGAAAAAACTAAATATTTACTATCGGGGTTCTTTAAACGCAGGTATCCCAACCTCGATTGTTGTGTCAGTATATTTGCGGTTCATAGATGTTGTTATATATTTGGCATCCACATATATTTGGTTGGGCTTCCTGTGTATAGAACAAT